CGCCTGCGGGAGGTCCCTGGTCCCGCGGCTTCGGCTTACTCGCCGCCGAATTGCTGCCGAAACCGCAGGACCAGCAGACCTCCCGCAGGCGCATCGCCGAAGGCTCCCTGACTGCCGCCCCCCCCAGCGATGGGCAGGCTGCCCCCCGTGGCTTGCTGCCCCAGGCATGCGCTTGGTGCGCTGGTGCCTGGAGCCGCCCTTGTTTAGAGCAGACATTTGCAAAGTTATAAAGCAAAACTTGCATATTTTCTTATGGCGCGGAACACAGACATTGCAAGTGAGATTAATGCCTGCAGCAACTTACAAGCATTTCATAGTCTAAACACTAAATACATTCTTGTAAGACTAATACCTATTTTTAGCAAACTAACATACAGGTGAACTGGTGGGTCTCCAGCAATGAGTTTGTTAGTTCTCAGTGCCTGCAGCCTAGGCAAGAGCTTGCACCTCGTTTGCCAGCATCACAGGAAATGCCCCCCAATCCCTTATGTCAGTAATTTTTATTTTGTATGTATCTGTAGCTAGCACTGCTATACCCTCTGTGATAATATCAGATTTCATAAACTAAGCAAGGTTGGGCCTGGTCAGTATTAGAATGGGATATCTCCTAGGCAAAGCCATGTGCTGCAGGAAGTGTTGTAGAAGGCTCTCTGTGTCAGTGGTTAAACCAGTGCCACACCATGGTTTTAAGGAACAATGTACGCTTGGGTCTGTTATATTTGAAGACACCAAAAGAGGTCCTGACCGCTGGTAGTCGTTAAAGACCCCGTGACATTTTCACAAGATCCCTGGCCAAATTTCAACTTGGTTAGTTATGTTCTCCTGACATAAACTCTTTCCGCAGCTTCAGCTGACAATGGTGGTATTCTTCACTCCTTGTATAACTGGCTGTGTAGTGCTGCTGTGAGTTGTTCCACTCCAGAGGTGGCTGCACATCAGTGATTAGCTAACAAGCCCAATAGAGTGCTCTGAGATCCTTCGAAGTTAGAGAGCGAACAGAAATGCAAGATGATATTTTCCAGGCTTGCTTTCCAGCAAATTGAAGTGTCATCTGGCTTCCAACAATATATTTTTCCTTTTTCTTTTTTTGGCAGCTGAGTAAAAAATATGGAAATGTCTTTAGTCTTCAGAACTGCTGGAGTAATATGATAGTAGTGAATGGATTCAAAGCAATAAAGGAAGCATTGGTCCAGAAATCAGAGGACTTTGCTGACCGACCGTACTTTCCTATACATGAGCACTTGGGTTATGGAGAGAACTCCGAAGGCAAGTACCTTGGAAACTACCATAGTTTTCTGGCAGTGTTGCAGGGGGACTGGCTTTATCATTTGAGCTCCTGGAGAGGTTAAAGGGGACTTAAGGAGTCAGGGTCGGCTCCAGGCACCAGCGTAGCAAGCTGGTGCTTGGGGTGGCACATGGAAGGGGGCAGCACGTCCGGCTCTTTGGTGGCAATTCGGCGGCGGGTCCCTCGGTCCCTCTTGCGGGAAGGACCTGCCGCCGAATTGCAGCTGAAGAATGAAGCGGCGGAGGTCGAGTTGCGGCGGAAGTGCCGCAGATCGCGATTGCGGGTTTTTTTTTGTTTTTTTTGGCTGCTTGGGGCGGCAAAAACCCTGGAGCCGGCCCTGTAAGGAGTGAACTGCCTCCCTTTCTTGTCCCTCTGCTGATGTCGCTTTTGCTGGAGTCTGCCCCTGACACTACCTCTCATGAGGAGGAAGTCAGGTTAGATGAAAATGGGGACTCTCCTTCCCAACTGCAGCGCTGCAACAACTACTAAGATGTGGCCAGTCTGAAATGTTCAGTAGAATGTACATGCTAATCAATACTGATTGGCTGCCATTGTCAGAACGGGCAGATTCCTATCCCTCACCACATGTATTTACCTTTCTCGGCTTGTAAAACAAATAACCTCCTTCTGAGGAACCTCCAGGACCCAAGAGTGAAAGTGGGGGAGGGTAGAAATAAATGCAACCTAAAAGGGAGGCTTGTTGGGCTGGAATAATCTCGGGTTATCCCAAAGCACTTTCATAACAAAGATTAGAGCTGGAAAAATATCTGTAGAGCCACATATTCTCAACCTCGCCCTGGCCCATACTCTGGCCAATGCAGGGATGCTCCCTATAGTATGTTCTCCAGTGCTTTGTCCAATCCAATTTTAAATGACTTGTGATGGGGCATCCATTAATTCCTTTGAGAGACTATTGAGTAGTTTAGTAGATCTAATAATTGGGAAATGTTTTCTCACATCCAACCTGAAGCTCACTCCCTCACAGTATGGCATGGCTTAGCTCCATTGACTACATCAGGTTATACCAGCTGCGGATCTGACCCTGAATTTCATCCCATTACTCCTAGCTATATCTTGGACCTCCCTGAATAATCCCTCTCCTTCTGCACTATGAAGGATGCAAAAATAGCTCCCATTAGTTGCCATTTGGTGAAGCTATACTTAGTTCCTTTTATCCTTCCTCACAAACCAGTCCCACCAGGTCAGCCCTATTTTGTTGCTGTCCAGTGAATTTTGCATGGTGTGCTCCCAGAGGTTATTATGTCTCTTGTTTATTAATACTTTCCAGGGGTGGTGCTTGCAAGATATGGTCATGCCTGGAAGGTGCAAAGGAGATTTGCACTCTCCACCTTGAAGAACTTTGGGATGGGAAAGAAATCCCTGGAGCAGCGTATGACTGAGGAAGCTGGATTTCTATGCTCTGCGTTCTGTTCTAAACAAGGTTTGTAGCATCAAGGGAGATGGGGCAGGAGATCAGTGTAACTCCCATAGATAAGGAAATGAAAGGATAAAATGACTGATTATGAAGGAAGGAATAATAACACAGTATCTCACATTTTTACATAATGCCTTATAGCCAGAAGGATACTAAAGTGCTTTGGAGACCAGACACATAGTGATCATTCATCCAGCACTATCATGAAGCCACCTCTGGGGTTGAACCTGACAGCTATTTTAACATGACAGTTTGTGATGGGAAGTAAAAACAAACAAACAAAACCCAACATCTCCAATTGAATGTGTAAGGGGAATTTTAGGGTGGTAGAATGTAATTACCTCAGCTGGAATTTGGTGAAGGCATCAACACGTAACACATTTCCAAAACATGCCATGAAGTCTTTAAGGACATCACTTTTATGCCTCAACTTAAAAACATCTGTAGCAGCATAGTAACATCTGTCTTTACACAGGAACCATGGGTTCAGTACTGAGGCAAAGAGATGAGTACCACTCACTGAATCTGGAGCACAAACCTGAAATTCTTAAGTTTTCCATGGTGCTCTTTCTTCCATGTATTTACCAGGCCCAACCCTGTTAGTATGGACATCTTTAACTTCCCCAGGTTACATGAGCATGGACTTTAAACTGGTTTGTTCCATAAGCAGTCTTGAAATGTTAGAGGTTCTTGCTCAGTGTGTTCCATGCAGCGAGGGGCAGGCTACAATGATGTTGTGACTCCTAATGTCTTTGGTTGGTCCTGTATGTTTTTCAGGTCGTCCTTTTGATCCACATTTTCTTATAAACAACGCAGTTAGCAATGTGATCTGCTCCCTCGTCTATGGTGAGCGCTTTGACTATGACAATAAGGAATTTCAGAGGATGCTGCATTTGTTTGAACAGGCCTTGAACGAAGAAGCTGGATTCCTGCCCCAGGTAACTCAGCACCTATGATTTGGTCGGTAAGAAGCTGCCATTTGATTGATCAGTAAGATTGTAGTTTAGTGATTCTTTTCTGGGAGCCATAGGGTGTGGTTTTCTCTCTCTCTCTCACTGTATTATCTTAGCTCCTTCTCGTAGTACCTTGGCTGCTGCGCATCCCTGGAGTGTCACAGAGCGTCTTCCGATCCCAAAAGGAGATCCTGAACTTCATAGATGAGCTTGTGAAGGAGCACAGGATGACCTGGAATCCTACCCAAAAGAGAGACTTCACTGATGCTTTTCTACAAGAGCTAGAGAAGGTAGGAGAGGAAAGGCAGGTGTAGATCTCTTTGACTCTATGAATATATTAGTGATGGGAACACTCCCTATTAGCTTCCCTTGTCCCTTGTTGTAAAGTTTACAAGTAAAATCTTATTGCTAATAGAACTGCTATGAACAGCTCCCTGTTCTATTTCTTCTGGTTTTCCCTTATCTAGTGAGTCTAATGAGTTCATGCTCAGAAATCAGCTGAAGAATAGGCTGATACTTGGAATTTTAATATGTGCCCAGTGCCCAGTGAAGTCAAAGGTGAGACTTCTATGCAGTGCCGTAACAAGGGGGAGGCGAGTGAGGCACTTGCCTCGGGTACACAAGGTGTGGGGGGGGGGAGGGACGACACAGAAAGCGGTGGAGAGAAAAAAAAAAGCTGCTGGCACGGAGATATTTAAAACCGGGGTGATCTCCCGCGGCCCCACCTGCAGCCCACCCGCGCCGCCCACGAGTGTCCCCCGACCCCGACTTGCTTCCCTAGGGTTACCATTCGTCCGGATTCCCCCGGACATGTCCGGTTTTTTAAGCTAAAAATAGCGTCCGGGGGGAATTTGTAAATGTCCGGACTTCCCCCCCATGCAGAGCACACACGGCTAACAGTGCTGCT